GACAGTGCTGTCCTCTCCTGACAGCCCACCTGCTGGTGACAGTGCTGTCCTCTCCTGGAAGCCCACCTGCTGCTGCTGGTGACAGTGCTGTCCTCTCCTGACAGCCCACCTGCTGCTGCTGGTGACAGTGCTGTCCTCTCCTGACAGCCCACCTGCTGCTGCTGGTGACAGTGCTGTCCTCTCCTGACAGCCCACCTGCTGCTGCTGGTGACAGTGCTGTCCTCTCCTGACAGCCCACCTGTTGCTGCTGGTGACAGTGCTGTCCTCTCCTGACAGCCCACCTGCTGCTGCTGGTGACCGTGCTGTCCTCTCCTGACAGCCCACCTGCTGCTCCTGGTGACCGTGCTGTCTTCTCCTGACAGCCAGGTCTGTGCTCACAGCTGTGAAACAACTGTGACCTCACACAGGAAGCTCCAGCACGTTCTGTTCGACATATCTGGATCTCATCTGCGCTCCGGCGGGAAGAACTATTATCACAGTTATTTAATGAAACATCCACTGTTAATAAAGGCAGTTCCAGTCCTATAAAGTTTGAATTTAACTGTGAAAATTAATATGGTGTTGTAATGTTATAGCCTGGTAGAAAAAAATTAATCCCCAAGGTAAGACTGTGTTGCTCTTTGGAAGCAATTATATGTAACTCAGCAAGGTTACTGAGACATTTCTTTCCCTGTGTACTACATAAGTACCTAACCCTTAAATCCTCTTACAACCAGTTCTTTGGGCACGCTCAGTAACGGTGGAAAACGAGACATGCTATCCACTTGCACGAAAATTTTGTTTTTAACACCACTCATTCAGAACAAATATGTTATTTAGGATGTTTTGTGTGTGTGTGCACATATGCATGCACATTTATGTACATACGTGTAAATATGTATGTATATGTGTGTATTTACACATTAATGTGCAAAACCTACTTTTTTTAATCCTCACCCAAGGACATGTTTTCACTGATTTTAGATTTTGGTAGGGTGAAGAAGGGGGAGAGAGAGAGAAACATCTCTCTTAGCCTCCCATACAAGCCCTGCTGGGGATCAAACACAAAACCTAGGCATGTGCTCTGGCCTGGAATCAAACCAAGAACCTTTAGGTGTACAAGACAACACTCCAACAAACTGATCCACTCGGCCAGGGCTATCAAGCTTATTTTAAAAAGCAAGAGAAAGCCCTGGCCGGTTTGGCTCAGCAGTTAGAGCGTCAGCCCATGAACCAGAGAGGCCCAGTTCAGCTCCTGCTAAGGGTACATACCTCAATTGCAGTTTGTACCCGGCCCCTGTAGGTGGCAACCAGTGGATGTGTCTCTCTCACACCGATGTTTCTCTCTCTCTCTCTTCCCCCCTCTTTCCCTCCTGCTCTATCTGAAGATAAATACAAAAATGTCCTCAGGTGAGGATAAAAATAATAATAATAAATAAATAAATATAAAAAGCAAGGGAACGATTCACACAAAAAATCAGGATAGAGGCTACTTCTGGAAGAAAGATGTAAATGTTTTGTTTCTTAATCTGGTGGTAGATACAGTGACGATCATCACAATAATTTTTTTTTCCTTTATTGATTTTAGAGACAGAGGAAGTGAGAAGAAGAGAGAGACAGAAACATCGATGAGAGAGAACACTGACTGGCCACCTCCTGCACGCCCCCAACTGGGGATCTGGCCCAGAACCTGGGCATGTGTCCTGGCCAGGAATGGAACCGGCGACCTCTGGGTGCATGGGTCAACACTCCACCACTGAGTCACACCAGCTGGACTATTTTTACAATTAAATATACAACCCGGCCAGTGTGGCTCAGTGGTTGAGCATCAACCCATGCACCCAGAGGTCGCCGGTTCGGAGGCGGCCAATTGATGTTCTCTCTCATCGATGTTTCTATCTTTCTCTCCCTCTCCCTTCCTCTCTAAAAATCAATAAAAAATTTTTTAAATTAAATATATATATATCTATTTTACACATGTTTTTGTACCTGAGATACATTTTGCGGTAAAAGAAACTTATTTAAAAAGAGAACAAAAGGTCAGGCCGGTGTGGCTCAGTGGATTGAGCATTATCCCAAGGACTGAGGGGTCCTGGTTTGGTTACTGGTCAGAGCACATGCCTTGGTTTTAGGCTTGATCCCCAGTAGGGGGCTTGCAGCAGGCAGCTGATCGATGTTTCTATCTCTCTCTCTAAAAAAATCAATAAAAAACATATTATATAAAAAAGAGAGAGAGAGAACAAGAGCCCTGGCTGGTTTGGTTCAGTGATTAGAGCATTGGACTGTGGACCAAAGAGTCACAGGTTCAATTCCGATCAAGGGGATCAAGGGGATGTACCTCGGTTGTGGCTCGGTCCCCAGCCCTGGTCGGGGTTGTGCAGGAGGCAAACAATCAATGTGTCTCTCTCACGTCAATGTTTTTCTCTTCCTCCCTCCCATTCTACCTGAAAATCAATGGAAGAATGCCTTCCAGTAAGAATGATTAAAAAAACAGAGAGAGAGAGAGAACAAGAGCCCGGCTCTGTAGATTGAGTGTCCTCCCATGAACTAAGAGGTCCTGGTCAAGGTACACGCCCAGGTTGTGGGCTCGATCCCTAGTAGGGTATGCAGGAGACAGCCAATCAATGTTTCTCTCTCACATTGGTGCTTCTATCTCTTTCCCCCCCAAAATTAATAACAATAGAAAGAGAACAAGAGCCCTGGCCGGGTAGCTGAGTCAGTTAGAGTATCATCCCAATATGCCAAGGTTGTGGGTTCAATCCCCAGTCAGGGCACACACAAGATTCAACCAATGAATGCATAAATAAGTAGAACAACAAATCGACATCTCTGTCTGTGTCTCTCTCTCTCCCTTCCCCTCTAAAATTAATTTAAAAAATATTTTTTTAAGAGAACAGGAAGTTCTCTTACTGCTGGACATTCAAAGAGTTTACCACCAGACGTTATTACGCAAAATATGTCAGTTCACATTTTTCTTCCTGAAGGCTCTCTCTAATCTTGCCAAGCCAATCAAATGAGTCAATATAACCTTAAAGTCAAGATCACTAAGTGGTAACATAGTTAATAAATTCACCATTATTTAACCTGGTGCTCAAAAACTTTTTCTTGATCCAACCTCTAAATATAAAATGACACACAGCTTCTAAAAAAATACATTCAAATCAAATACAATTATCTCCTGCCTTTAAATGATAAAATCCTTTTAGGTTATAAAAAGATTCCTGGTGAAAAGGACACTACATTTATACTGATCTGTTTAAATTATCTACTTGAGACCAGTTGGTGTGGCTCGATGGTTAAGCATCAACCCATGTACAACGAGGTTGCCGGTTTGATTCCCGGTCAGGGCACATGCCCAGATTGTGGGCCAAATCCCCAGTGGGAGGCATGCAGGAGGCGGCCAATCAATGTTCTCTCTCAGATGTTTCTCTCTCTCTCTCTCCCTCTCCCTTCCTCTCTCTCTGAAATCAATCAAGATAAAAAATAATAAACTATCTAGTTGAACTTTATCCTACAATGCCAAAAGGATTTTTATACAGCAAGGCTTTTAATGGTTAACACTCAGAAACAATCAAAATGTCCATCAATAAGGAACTGATAAATACATTAGAGTCTCTACAGAAAAAATAGCATTTTAAAAATGAGGTAGGTCCACAGTACTGATACAAAAAATGTGCCCTTATATTAAGCCAGGTGCCCAACAGTTTTACAATATGATCCCCTTCCAGGGAGGGGAATTCGGTATTTAAAGGATGCAAAGTGAAGAAATAAGGAAGTCTAACTTTTTACTTGATATATTTCTATGCTGTATGAATTTTTTACTTGATATTCTTCTGTGATGTTAAAAGACATTTACAACCTGAATACCGTAATCAATTAAAAAGAGGAAATAAGGGTAAAATGGTAAGATAAATTCTTTACCAGGATCCAGAAGTGAATTCAGGAAGACCAGCCAGTTAAACCTGCCATAATCCCAGAGGGCAGAGGATGGGGGTGGGGAGGGCGTGTCTCCGGCAGAGGAAAACTACACCCTCCCCCCCTGCTCCCATTAAACCTGCTTTTTCGGCGGCATCAATAGTCAAAATAAATTTTGGTTTTCATTTTAAGAAGGAAGAGCCACTAGGCTGTACACCTGAAACGAACACAAATAACACTGAACGTAAACTGTAATGGAAAAATAAGAAAGAAACAGTAGCCTTGCAACTCGGTCACCGGTAAGAATGTTTAACGTTTGTTCTACGCCTGGAAGCTACGCAGGCTTGGGAGAGAAGACGACTCAGAAGCGACTGCGGACGCTGGGGAGCAGGTGCGCGCCTGGGGGTACGCGCCCCGGGACGGTCACGAACGGGGCCTGGGTGCAGGTGGGTGAGTCTGAGAAAAGAGGTGGACGCTCGGGAAAGGGGGTCACGTCTTGGAGAGCGGAGTGCCGATGACACATTCGTTCGGATGGGAGGCTCGGACGCCCCTACACACGCACTCGGCTTAGGACTCGGGAGCCCACTGATGGGTGGGACACCCGACGGCGCCCCCAGCACCACAGCCCTCCGGGCCACCCCCTGCTGCTACGGACCCGAAAGACGCGCCACGCGCGGTGCGATGCGTGTCCAGAGAAGGCCGACGCGGGGCCTCTCCCGACTCCCGCACGGACGGAGTCGGGAAGTCCCGCCACACGGACAAGCTGCAGCGCAGGTTCAGAGCAAGCGGGAGGGGCGACGGAGCCCGGAGCCGCCGGACGCCCCAGGCGGGAGCGCACCGTGCCCGGCTCGACGCGCACACCCCCCGACCTCGCGGGGCAGCCGTCCGACGGCGAGGGGACGCGGAGGCGCGGCCCGGCCCAGCGCGGGGCAGGGCGCTGCACGGGCACGGCCGGCCCGAGGGGACACGGCTGGGCCGAGGGGGCGGTGGAGGCCCCCGTCCCGCAGGCCCGCTCGGCCGGGCACCGCCGCGCTCCGCAGGCCCGGCCGGGCGGTCAGGGCGCCTCCCCGCGCGCACACGCCCGGCGACCCGCGGACCGCACTCACCGGCTTCCCCGACGCCCACGCCGACCCCCGGGGCGCGCAGAGGGGAGGGTGCTGCTCCGCGGCCGGCCGGCGGGCGCCGCTCCACTCGGCCCGGGAGCCGCGAGCGGAGGGCGGAGCGAGGGCAGAGGGCCGGCGGGGCGGGGCGCGGCGCCGTGCGCACCCCAGCGACCAATCGTCACGCAGCAAGTGGCCTGCTGGAGGCGGGGCGGGGATTGGGGGCGGGGCGAGACTCTAGGGGGCGGGGCGAGCGCGCCGCAGCTCTGCGGTCACGGGCCAGACTCCGCGCAGCGCGGCTGGCAGGCGCTGAGACCTGGCACCTGGTGCGGTCCTTTGGGCCGCCGCGGCTGGGCCGTCAGCGCCGCGTTTCTGCTCGCGGACTTCGGGTGCAGCCTCGGTGAGGTCGCGTGCAGGGGGAGCCCAATGCCAGAAGGCAGGGGCTCTCATTGCCTTTGCCCAGTTGACCTGCCCAGCGTAGGGCAAGTGCTCCTGGAGGGTTCTCAGGAACTCAAGGTCTGCACAGATGCCCTTGCCAGCCCTTGCCATTCAGAAATGGGGGCCTAGGCAGGTGAAGTTACTGGTCCAAGGCTACTAACCAGTTCTGTAACCCAAGGTGTCCGACACAAGACAACTGTCCTGATGCAATTCCTGGCCGTCCACCCAGGTCTCTTCCTACTGTCTCCTTAAAGAAACGGCATCTTGAATGTTCAGCCTAACATCAACAGCCTTTGAAAGCCCTATCTATATTTTCTAGAGTATTAAACACCATTTAGTTGTTTGAGGAAAACACATTGTGTAAATCCAGGTATTATCAATGGGAATCCAAAAGTTTTTAAGCTGAGGGCGCTGCTGGTGTGGCTCAGTGGTTGTCCATAGACTGACGAACCAACAGTTCACCAGTTTGATTTTGGTCTGGTCCTGGTCTGGGCACATGCCCAGGTTGTGGGCCAAATCCCCAATGGGGCATGCAGGAGGCAGCCAATCAATGTTCTTTCTCATCTATGTCTCTATCTCTTTCTCCCTCTTTCTTCCTCTCTTTCTAAAAGTCTATTTAAAATTTTTTAAATAAATAAAACGTTTTTAGCTGATGAAATAAAAGGTTTTGTTTCACAAATGCCATCCTCTTATACTCCTGTTATTCCCGTAGATCTTAGTATTCATGTACTTTTAGTAATTTTCCACTCTCCCTCAGTTCTTTTGCATGGTTACTATTATTATGTCAATTGTCAGGTAATTCATTTATAGTTACATTATCCATCATCTTGATGCATGTGCTATGATCTAGGTGCTCAATAAATATTTGTTTAATAAATTACTTTTGAAGTATGTGCAACCTGAAAGGTTAAATTACTGCATTGGCCGGTTTGGCTCAGGGGTTACAGCGTCGACCCACAGGCCAATGAGTCTTAAGTTCTACTCTGGTCAAGGGCACGTACCTGATTTGTGGTTAGTCCCCAGCCCTGGATGGGGTCGAGTGGAAGCAACCAGTCGATGTGTCCCTCTCATGTCGATGTTTCTTTCTCTCTCTCTCTTCCTCCAACTCTACCTGAACAAAAATGAAAAAAAATATCCTCAGGTGAGGATTTAAAAAAAGGTTAGCCCTGGCCGGTTAGAGCTTCGGCCTGTGGACCAGAGAGTCCTGGGTTCAGTTCCCGCTAAGGGCATGTACCTCGGTTGCAGTATGTCCCCGGCCCCAGTTGGGGTCGTGTGGGTGGCAACCACTCAATGTGTCTCTCACATTGATGTTTCTCTCTCTCACGTCCTCCTTCTCTCCCTCCCGCTCTATCTGAAGATGAATGCAAAAATGTCCTTAGGTGAGGGTAAAAAAAAGGTTAAATTACTGACCTATAAATGTTGGATTTTTATTTAATTTTCTTTTTTTTTTGGTATGTGCCCCTAGCGGGAACCGAACCCAGGACTCTCTGGTCCGCAGGCCAACAGTCCAACTGCTGAGCCATACTGACCAGGGCTAAATGTTGGCTTTTTAAAAATAAGTTTTAACATTTTGCTTCTGGCCCGGCCAGTGTGGCTCAGTGGTTTGAGCGTCTGCCCATGGACTTAGCGGTCCTGATTGGATTCCCCATTTGGTCATGCCAGGTTGCAGGGTCCAACCCCTGAAGGAGTCATGCAGGAGGCAGCTGATCCACATCTCTCTCTCACATTGATGTTTCTACCTCTCTCCCTTCCTCTCTCTCTAAAAAATCAATTAAAATATATTAAAAGAAAATCTTGCTTCTGTTTTAATTATTGTATTAGTATTAAGTTTGGCTGAGAGTTGCAGGGAAAAACAACCACAAAGTAACAGTGACTTAAGCAAAATATTGGTATTTCCCTTTTATGTTTAAGAAGTACAAAGTTATGCCTGGCCAGTGTGGCTCAGTAGATTGAGTGTCGTCCCATGGACTGAAAGAATTACAAAGTTAGTCTGAGGCTCATCTGGCACATCATGGAGACAGATTCAGCCTCCTTGCTCCAGCCAATGGAATCACACATATATGCATTTATGCTTTTAAAAATATGGGCATTTGGAAGATACCAGGTTCCATTCCCTCTATCACCTCATGGTCTAAGGGAGTTGCAGAAGCTCCAGCCATTGTGCCTGCCTTCCAACCAGCAGAAGAGAAGACAGAAAAGGGAACTCTCCTCTCTTTAAGAACTTTTCCAAAAGGTTGCATATACTTTTTCTGCTTTCACTGTGCTGGCAAAAACCTGGTCACTTCGCTACACTAAACTGCAAGGAAGGCTAAAAAATAGTGTTTTGTTACAGAAGGAAGGAAGAATGGACATTGGGGGACAAGTAGGAGTTTCTACCATAGTCTCCAATCTCATCACCTTTTAAAGTATTAAGTATTATAAGATTCCCCAACATTCGTTAAAGCTTTTTTCAGAATACCTGTAAGAAAATGCTTACCTCCACGTTTGAAGGAAGATGTTACTGCTGACCTGCCATTGGGGTGCACACGCTTTGAGTTGCTTTTCCAGAAGGGAGTAGCAACTAACACGAGTGTAGCTGGCTTTTCTCCCGTTCTAGAAGTATTTCACAAAGCGAATCAAACGTGTATAGCTATGCACTGGAAATGTGGGCGCTGGAAAGATACTGGGATTAAGTTGCTGATCTCAACATTTCAAATGAACTGATTTGAGGCTTTAGTAAAATTGCAAATCAGGCTGAAAAAGACTCCCCAGGTGCTCTGATTCTACTGGTGTTCCATGTGTAGTTATCTAAGTATATGTTTTATTAAATTACCTGAGCACCTCGGAGGGGCTCTCCTAGATCCTGGAGTCTTTGTGACTCCATGGACCACTTTCAGGGGTGGGCCGGAACAGGTTCCAGAAGGCCTGCTTCACCTAAAGCTGGGCAGGTGGAAGCCAGCCCCGTCGGCGCAAGCGCTCCAAGAGAAAGGAGCAAGCAGGCTGTCCTTCACACGCCGTCCCTCGGGGCTTGGTTTGCTCTCACTTTCTCGGGCTGTCCCGTGAACTCACCCTGCTGGAGTGGCATCCACTGTCCATGTGCTTGGGAGTTTACCCCGATGTTACCACAGAAACCAGCCGAAAGACTAACGCATGTTGTCAACAGGTGCTTCCAAGAGTATTGTCTTTCTCCACGAGCTCACGGGGTTTTGGTAACAAAGACGCAGTGTGAGTGGGTCGGTGAGAACTGTTGCATTTGGACGTGGGTGGCCTAAGACTGAAGGTCGCACTCCTGTGGGTCTGAAGTGGCCCTCTCCCGAAAGGATGGATACTCAGTGTCAATATTTGGGGGAAACACTGGTCTTTCGATGAGAAGCAGGAAACCAAAACGCTGGAACGCTGACTTGATTCTGTCAGGAGGATTTCTTGCTGCAGTCCACACTGAACACGCTGGATCTGTTTATCAGTGGGTTTCCCTCAGAAAAAGCATCTCACCTGACTGGAGGGCTCAGTGGCTCACAGAACTGGAAGAGGAGTGTTATGGTGGGGGTCGAGGCAGGGGGACCCGCTGGCTCAACGATATTGTCGAATCTAGCAAAGAACTTTTCTCTGAAGGACTAAACTGATCCCTGAACCCTGCAAACTGCCAGGCAGTGATTGGTTTAAGCCAAGTTACCTGAACCAATTGCTGGGACAACTTCTCTGAGGTCCAATGTGAATACCCTTCCACTATCTTATAATGCTCCTTAATTGTCTTAAAATGGAATTCCTGGAAAATGGAACCTACCCATGCCTGTGGTCTTAAAACTGTCAGTAAATGCCCTAACTATAAGAGAAATAGAAAAGATGTAGTTTATCCTTTTAATGATGTTTCAATGTGTAAATGATCAAGCAGAACTACACTAGAGGGCAGAATGAAGCAGTCAGATGCTTGCATCCACTGATATATGTTTGGCTTTAAGGGAAGTGAGAAGTGAGAAGGCATTCTGATCAAGAAGTGCGAGAGAGCCCTGGCCGGTTTGGCTCAGCGGTTAGAGCATCGGCCTGCGGTCCTGAGAGACCCAGGTTCAGTTCCCGCTAAGGGCACGTACCTCAGTTGCAGTTTGTCCCCGGCCCAGGTTGGGTTGTGTGGGTGGCAGCCACTCGATGTGTCTCTTTCACATCGATGTTTCTCTCTCTCTCTCCCCCTCCCACTCTAACTGAACAAAATATGGAAACATGTCCTCAGGTGGGGATAAAAAAAAAAAAAAAAAAGAAGTGCGAGAGAAATGGAAGTGGAAACTAGTGAAACCTAGATCCGGGATAGTAGCGACATGACTGACTTGTTCAGAGAGGGGGAGGGGGAGGGGAGAGGGGGAGGGGGAGGGAGGGGGAGGGAGGGGGAGGGAGGGGGAGGGAGGGGGAGGGAGAGGGAGAGGGAGAACTAGCTTGGTTGAAATAGAAATATATGTGGAGAACGTGAGGAGCATGGTGCTTTCACAGATGAGTCAGGGCTTTTACTAAGTGTCATGTTCAATAATCACCTATGTTGCGGTGCAGGAAAAGGTGATGATGAATTTCACAAGCAGTGCGTGTCAGGGATGTGTTCACACACCAGTGTTTGAAAGACTGCAATGGAGACAAATTCTTCAGTGGGTGAGAGGGTACAGAAGATGAG